CACACTCAATCATGAAATTCTAATTAAATTAAATAGGTCACAAATCAAAAGAGACACAGAGCTAGGAGTGGGACACACTGAGGAAAAGAAGGTTTTTCACAAGAGAGGGACAGGATGAGACAGGAGAGTGAGAGTGAAGGAGACTAAAATTAATTACATGGATTTATAAAGCTGTCAACTAAAAAATTGAAAATTGAAAGAAAAAAAGAAATGTATTGACAGAAAAAAAGAGTCCAGATTATCCTTGGGTTTGAGGTGCACACCTACACAGACTGAGCCAGGTCAGATGTGAAATTATTTTGGACTTTTAGTCACTGGGCCTAGATTGCCTGTAGACTCCTATTTGAATTCCAAAGATTGAAACAGAGAATCCCACTGATGAGCTGATCAGAACAAATTCTCCAGGCTCCCTCAAGATTCCTCAGTGTCTAACCTGGTGACAATGGCAGGGTTGTTTCTGCTCCTATAAATGACAAACTGCCTCATGAAAATGAGCAAGTGTACTTAGAAACAAAAACAGGCATGCTCTGGACTGATTTCTGTTCAGATAGGTCAACATTAATAGTTTTGTTTTGTTGCTGTTGGTGGTGGTGGTGGTGGTGGCGTGTGTGTGTGTGTGTGTGTGTGTGTGTGTGTGTGTGTGTGTGTGTGTGTGTGTGTTTAAAGGAAACTGTTATATTTGGGGAAAGCCCAAGATCCCAAAGGAAACAAACACTTAACCACCCTCTGCACCTGTGCCTGGGCTGAGCCTGCATTCCTGCGTGCTGTGCGCCCCCTGTTGGAGAAGAGCTCCAGTGCTCTTCCTGAGCACACTGCAGGGAGTTTAATGTGCCTGACACTGATGTTCCTCAATGTGTTCATCACAGTAATACGGGGCTGTCTCTCCACTAACACAGAAGTCAGCCTTGAGGACAACTCTTCCTTAGATGTGTTTCTGGAGGTGGAGATGAAGCTGAAGAAGAATGAGCTGTTTTCTGTGACTTCATAATAACCCCTTTCTCCCAGTAGTACAGACTCTTTTCTAGGGCAAAGCCAACACCAGTATGCATTACAGTGTGATGGAGTAACCAGGGACAGTGCAGGTAAGGACCAGATCTCTGAGGGCTTAACCAGGACAAGTGTGAACATTGGAAGTAGAGCCTAGAGACAAGGAGAATTGGCCCCTGTCAGTCACCAACAGTGACAAGTTCTCCAGTTTCCCTAGCAATTCCTCAGGATCTAACCATGGCGACAATGGTATACTCATTTCTGATACTTTAAGTCACAATCTGCCTTGGTTAAAAAAAAATCAATAAATGTGCTCATAAACAAAAACATACACAGAATGAATTTATAATTTGGACATGGCAATATTTAGTTCTTTTTTTTAAACAGACCCATGAATGACAGACACTGATACTGAGAACTTGTCACCAAGCTCATGAATTGACCAACAATCTTATCTTCTAACCACACCACTCCCTTCCCCAGAGACTTTAAGCCTACATGAGCAGACTACTGTGATCATCCATGTAATGAGTCTGCACTTTCCCCTGGAGATTAGGAACATATTTACATGTTGGAAGCCCTGTAATTACAGGTAGGAATGGACAGAACCCAGCTCCTCCTGATGCTCCCATGATGTCATCTGATTTCTGTCGGGCTTACATAGGATATTTCAAGCAGCATTTTTAATTCAACATAGGATTGCAAAGATTCTACCATATAATTAACCAAGGGAAATCATACTCACCTGATAGAGTCTGCATGATTATGTACTAGATTACTAGCTGATATTTAGAAGATTGACCCACCAGAACTGTGACAGAGGACAAAACTCATACCCAGAGTGGGAAGGTTTGCTGCCTTTTGAATAGATGGCTGCTTCTTACTGTAAATTTCCTGTGTGATGCCATGGCCTTCACCACTGAAACAGCTTGGGCACTTTCCACAATCTTAGCAGTGATTTCTTCATTTGTTGGGCACAATAATTCCTATGTACCAATAGAAGAATGACTTCTACATACACTGTGTAATTCTGGTGAGAAAAACAAGTCACAGACTCAAATCTTTGTTCCACAGTCTGATAAACACTTAGAGGTCTGTTCTCTAAAATTATCTTTATGACAGGACAATTTGCCAGACAAGGTGTTTATACAAAAAGATCACAAATGGGACATTCGCAGATAGGCTAAAGGACAGAATTGCAGCATTTGTTGAATCAAAGCCCCTTTTGAGATAATAAGAACAGAGTGTCCTGAAAGTACCCTCCTGTAGATAATAGGAAGCACAACTCAGCTATCCCTGCTTTGACCTCAGAAGGCTATTAACACTTTCACCTCAGTTTATTGATGCAAGATTTTAGCTTAGGGGACTAACTGCTTATGTTTTAGCCCTGAGATCTGTGTGATCAACAGACAGACGTCATTAACCGATTGACCAGCTCCAGAAAGACTATTTTTCTCACATGGTCACAGTGGGAATGAACGCCACAGATGGCCAGAGTGGCTGGAAGGCACCAGGCTCCAGATTTGTACAAAAGAGTTAAAGGTCCTCTCTTTGTCTAACCACTTAGGGTAAAAGATGTATTTTTTAGATTTTAGAAAGGTTCTTTATTGCCAGTTAATATTTGTGAATATGCTGATGTGAATGAAATGCTGCATGCTCCCCCACCCCAACAGTTTACACAGGCTGCCATGGTTACACTGATGCTGTTTCCTTAACAGAGTTACATTCCTAGCATGCAGGAGAGAAATGGTGTTTGCTGAGCTTTGCCTTTTTTGTATTTTATTGATCACAGACTTTTAGATTATGTATTTAGTCACACTTAAGAATGTATAACAGTACCCGAGTTCCCTTTTTTCCTTCTCAGATTTCTCTATTGGGACCCCTTCCCCTTTAAGAGATTGTTGGATCTTTTTATAAGCCACACCTGCCACCAGCCATGAAAATAGCTGGCAAGTATTGCTTTGTATAATTCTTATCTGTTTTATGACCCTGAAAGAAAAAAAAAAAAAACGCCTTGTAACCTTTCTATTGAAAAGACTTGCTGTTGTATGTGTATATAAACTGAAAGCTTCTGAAACTCCAACAGAACAATGGAGACGTGACTGGAACTGCACAGGTGTGAGTTTTTCCATCAGATTAGAACTATCCCAGTTCCCTCCACTTCACTGTGGCTTCTGACCTGAACCCTGGAGGTGCTCTTAGAGAGCTGGTCTCCAAGGCCACCGTTACTCACTGTGGGACATTCCTAGTAAGATGCCATCCGTACTAGTCACACACATCGGATTTGTTGTTGGAGGGGTTGTCTGCTAGACATGGAGATGGGCTGTGGGAGATGATGGTGTCTCAATTCAGGTCTGTGTTCTGTGAAGGGCTTGTACTGTAGACAGGGTATTATGAATGGGAAGGCTGTGAATATCAGGCCAAGAATTAACTGTAAAATTCCAGATTTTACAACCTTTCAATTCCACCATTAATATGAGCCAGCTCTTCAGGTAAATTCTGTGAAGTGAAAATGGAAGAGAAAATCATCTGTCTTATGGGATTATGTTTAGAAAGTATCTCTCTCAGATTTTTCTTTTCATTTTTTCTCTTGTTGAAAATAGAATTTTTTCCGTACAATATATTCTGATTGCAGTCTCCCCTTCCTCCTAGTTCCTCCCACCTCCCCTCACATCCTGAGACACACCCTTTCTGTCTCTCATCAGGAAATAAACAGCCATGTAAGGATTAATAACATAAGAATGTAAGAAAAATAAAAAATGAACAAACTGGAACAGGACAAAACAACCAAACGCCTAATGAAAAAGCCCAAGGAACACATAGCGATGCAGAGACACACGCATTCACACACTCGGGAATCCCATGAAAACCCAAAAGTGGAGGCCATTTTATATACACAAAGAACCTGTATGGTGAATCAAATAAACAAACAAAGCAGTGCCCTGATTCAACATTACAAGCCAAAGAACCACCAAAGATGCCCATGAGTTGACTCTGTGTTGGCCATTTACTGTGTGACATGGGACTATACTTGAAAGTGGTCTTTTTCCCCATGAGACTCGATCTGAGAAAACTAATTTTTCATTTGCAAGTAGCTATTAAAATTTCCACGTGCTCAAAACATCTCTAAAATATTGAATCAGTTATGGTAGAAGAATATGCTCACATTATCATAAACATAGGAACATTTGTGTATTTGATGTCAATTTAAAACTGCTCACTCTTTGAGTCTTAGAGGCAGATTGACCAGGAAACTTCTGAATATAGTAACAATAAATTTTATAACCAAAGGAGCCAGGTCAGGAGCTGAGAATCCACATTCCAAGCACACAGGAAGGACATTGCCCAGCGCACACAGTGAGCCATCCCTGAGCTTCAGAAGATGGGCTGAGCTCTGAGTTTAGTGCACAGTGGTCAGAACTAGAATTATCTAATTGAACAGAGAATCAGAAGATATAATGATGTAATATAGTAATGTAAAAAAGAATTTGATTAAAAATTCAATTATCACTTCTTAGCCTTTTCTTTGCAGTCCTCAAGAGGGGTTTGGGCAACTTGGAGTGATTACCTATGACTGATCCTGGCCCCAGTTCCTCTTGGGTCCCTCTGAATTACTAACACTGTTCCAATTGAGAGTCTGTTCTAACCTCAGTATGAGGGAAAAGACTATTCAAGGTTCCTGAGCTTCCCCAGAACTGGTCCTGGTGACCACAGAGAATCACTTTTGCCCCCATAGACACTTTCTGCATTTTGTTCAGGTACTACTAGGTGACACATTTGGTTTAAGAATGTTGGTCAAATCAGGATTCTTTATTTTTAGAGACATGATCAATTCCTAGAGTCTATAATTGTAAAGAGGATCCCCTAGAAAAGCATCAGTTGGAGAGGGCGCCCACATAACACAGAAAAATATCTTTTATGTCTGAACCTTCATCTAAACTGACATGGGCTCTGCCTGTGCTGTGAGCCCCCTGCTGGTCATGGGTACCTGGCGGGGAGGTTTGTGTCTGGTCTCACACTGAAGACTCCTCACTGTGTCTTACACAGTAATAAGTGGCTGTGTCCTCAGTTTTAAGATTGTTCATCTGCAGGTAAACCATGCTTTGGGAATCATCTCTGGAGATGGTGAATCTTCCTTTCACCGAATCAGCATAGAAAGTTGCATAATTATAACTTTTAGGGTCTATGGCAGCAACCCATTCAAGACCCTTCCCTGGAGCCTGGCGGACCCAGGACATTGCATAGTCACTGAAGGTGAATCCAGAGGCTGCACAGGAGAGTTTCAATGACCCCTCAGGCTGCAACAATCCTCCACCAGACTCAACCAGCTGAACCTCACAATGAACACCTGCAAACAGAGAGGATCCTGATCAAGAAACTGTCACACATGTTTACTGTCTCTCACACTCATGTACACTCACTCAGTATCCCTTTTTTTCCATAAAATACCTTTTAAAAGAACAACCAAAAAAACCCAGTGCAGCCCCAATCCCATGTTGAATGTTCTGTTTCCAGTGCTGATCACCAAATGGTAAAGCAGGACTAGAATTCTCTGCCTGAACTGCAGGGTCAGGGCAGGACTGTTTTTCATGAGCAGAGGAAGGCCATATTTGCATATCTTCCTGAATATCTTATGCTCTGATGTGTGAGCCTTTGGGGCAGCAGTTAATTTTGCAAATGTCTGAGAGAAAATGAAGTAGTGAGGACCATGATTTCATTAAATATTATTCATTATGTGTCTGTAATAAAACTTCCACAACCATAGTTATTTTTATGCTTTTTTTCACATGCACTCTTTACTACTTATCTTACCAAATATTAGACAATAATTTCATAAAGGTTTAAAAAATAAAAATTACAATTTGATAATTTGCGAGGAATTACTGTAAAGGTCAATTAATAGCAAAGTATACATTAAATTACAGTAACAAAACTGGGCTGGGGACAGGGTGGTGGGAAAGTTTAACATGCACAAGGACCCAAGTTTTATCCTCGTTATAGAATACATACATACTGATATATAAAATCTCAGCAGAGGAATCTCAAATGGTGGGGAAGCACCTTAAAAAATGTTCAACATCCTTAGCCATTAAAATGACTCTGAGATTCCATCTTACACCTACCTGTCAGCATAGTTAAGATCAAAAATACAAGTAACAGTTCATGCTGTTGAGGATGTGGAGCAAGGGGAACACTCTTCCACTGCTGGTGAGAGTGAAAAACATGTACAGCCACTTCAGAAATCAATATGGCAGTTTCTCAGAAAATTGGAAATCAATCTACCTCAAGACCCAGTTCTACACTCCTGGGCATATACACAAAGGACACTCCACCCTACCACAAGGACACTTTCACAACTATGTTCATAGCAGATTTATTCATATCAGCCAGAAACTGGAAACAAACTAGATGCCCCTCAACCAAAGAATTGTTAAAGAAATTGTGGTACATATACACAATGGAGTATTGCTCAGCTATTCAGCTATTAAAAACAATGACATCATGAAATTTCCAGGCAAAAGGATGGAACTTGAAAAATCATTCTGAATGAGGCAACCCAGACCTAGAAAGACAACCATGGTATGTACTCACTCATGAGTGAATATGATCTGTAAAGGATAACCATGCTACAATCCACAGACTCATAGATGCTAAGGGAAGCTAAAGGGGGATCATATGAATCTCCATGGGAAGGGGAAATAAAATAATCATCATGGTGGAGGTGGGGGTTAAGTGGGACATGAACAGGATGTATCAAGCGTGGGAAGGATGGAAGGAGAGAGTACTGGGAGAAACAACTGGAATTGATGGGGCATCTCAGGGATAAGCTAGAAACCTAGCACAATGGAAATTCCCAGAAATCTATGAAGCTGACCCCTAGCTGAAACTCCTAACAATGAGGGATGGAGAGCTTGAACTGACAATCCCCTGTAACCAGGTAAGATTTTAAGTGAAGGGATTGAGTCATCAACACATCCACAAAACCTTCCACCTACAATTTGTCCTGTCTATAAGATGTGCTAGGGTATAGGTGGCACAGCAATTGTTGGAGGATAGGAAAATGATTGGTGCAGCCAGAGACCCCATGCCATAAGAGGGAGCCCACCCTTGACACTGCTTAGAGTGCCAGGACACAGAGGGTGAATAGCCCGAAGCCTAGAATAGAGCCAAACAGGACTGGCAAAAAAAAATCAATGAAATGATTCCTAATGGTATTATGCTATACTCATAGACTGATGCCTAGCCCAGATGTCATCAGAGAGAATTCTTCCAGCAGCTGATGGAAACAGATGAAGAGACACACAGTCAATCATTAGGCAAATTCGGCGATCCTTCAGAAAAGGGGGAGGAAGGATTGTAGGTGCCAGAGGGATCAAGGCCACCATTAAAAAAACCACAGAATCAACTAACCTGGCATCATAGATGCTCACAGAGACTTAACAGACAACCAGAGAGCCAGCATTGGACTTATCTAGACCCTATGCATAATTTACAGTTGTGTATGTAACTTGGTCTTCTTGTGGAAATCCTAAAATTAGGAGCAAGGGCTGTCTCTGACTCTTTTTCTGGCTTTTGGGATCATTTTCCTCATACTAACTTGCCTCATCAACTTGATATGCCATGTTTCGTTGATATCTATGGGAGAGGCCTGCTCTCCTCTAAATAGAAATGGAGGAGTGAATGGGAAACAAAGGGAGATGGGGGGAGGGATTGGGGGGAGAGGAACAATGGGAGACAGCAGTCGGTTTGCTAAATAAATGAATATATATACATATATATGTATATATATTAAAAAGCCATATTGAAATTAGGATCATGAAAGGTAAAAAAGCATACATCTGTAAATGATATAGAATCCATATGGCATAACAAATCAAAGTAGAGATACTGGGAATGAACAACATGGACTATGGAGTAAGGGAAACGTAAATTATAATACTATTTCTATAACAAAAAGTCTGGAAATAGTAACAGTTCATAGTTTCCTGGTTTTGTATTTGATATTTTCTTTTGTTGATGCAACAATTTTGTGCTCAAATTTTGGTGTGCTTTTATGGATCTGCTGTTACAGTACTGTTATCAAAAATAACAAATTTAAGAAAATTGTAGGAAAAATTAGTGAGATGTAGATAAACTTGTCATTTCTTTATTAGTATATTCTCAGTGGTTGTTCTGATTATGCTCTACAGTTATGTGAGATATGTTCTTTCAGAAAACTGCGTCAAAAGCACATGGATAAGATTTGTATTTTCTATTGACTTGTGAGTCTTTGGACAGAAGCACCTGCATGTGTGGACAGTGCTGCCCACAGAGGGTATGAATTGTTAATGGAACACCACTGTGCTGGGCACATGATAACTCCCTATGAGGTCATGGTCAGAGAGGCCCAACAGGTGCTGAGAACAGTGTGAGGCATTGCCATTGCTCCTGGTGGTCCACAATAACTTCATAGATAGTTCTTATTTCTGAGAAAGAATTTTAGAACTGAATAGATTGTAAGAGCCAGAAGGGGTGGATGACTCCAAGGGAGCAGTGTCTTCTAGACACAGCAAGATTGATGGAAGCACATGTGAACTCAGAGACTGACAGCATGCAGAGGGCCTGAACCAAGTCAAGCCAGGCAGGTCCCAGTGTTGACAGAGGGACATGGACACAGGCTTTCACCCCCAATGATAAAGCTTCTACAATTGACACTTGCTTGTAAAGAGAAACTATTGTTCACCAACGGAGTCTCCTTGGGCATGTTGTGTCCACTTAAGAGTAGACACAAGTGCAGCAAAAATTATTATGTAGATAGTAAACAAGAATGATCTCTATGGTACTTTTTTTCCCCCCGAGGCCAATCTGTTTTCTTTTTTCTTTTTTTATTATTATTAAGAGATTTTCTATTCATTTTACATACCAACTACAGATTCCCCTCACCTCCCTCTTCCTGCCCCCCAGCCTTCCCTTTCAACCCACACCCCCCATTCCCACCCCCTCCAAGGCAAGGTCTCCCTTGGGGAATCAGCAGAGCCTGGTACATTCAGTTGAGGCAGGTCCAATCCCCTCTTCCCTGCACCAAGGCTGCAGAAAGTGTCCCACCATAGGCACTGAGCTCCAAAAAGCTGGCTCATGCATTAGGGACGGGTTGGATCCCACTGCCTATCTGGAGACCCCCTAAACAGTTCAAGCTAAACAACTGTCTTGTCTATCCAAAGGGTCTAGTCCAGTACCATGGGGGCTCCTCAGCTATTGGTTCACAGTTCTTGCATTTTCCACTAGTTTGTCTGGCTTTCTCTGTACATTTTCCCACCATGATCTCCCTCCTCTCTCTCTCATCGATTGGACTCCTGGAGCTTGGCCTGGGACCCAGCCGTGGATCTCTGCATCTGCTTCCATCAGTCACTGGATGAGGGCTCTATGATGACAGTTAGGGTATTCAGCCATCTGATTACCGGAGTAGGCCAGTTCAAGCACCCTCTTGACTATTGCCAGTAGTCTAAGGTGGAGTCATCCTTAGGGATTCCTGGGAACTTCCCTAGCACTCTGTTTCTCCCTATTCCCATGATGTCTTCATTTATCAGGGTATCTCTTTCCTTGCTCTCCCACTCTGTCTCTGTTCCCCTATGTTCTCATCCCCCATCCCTTGCCTTTCATTACCCTTCCTCACCCTCAGTTTGCTCATGTAGATCTCATTGATGTTTCCTTTGCTGGGCAATCCCTGTGTCCTTCCTAGGGTCCTCCATGCTAGCTCACTTCCCTGGAGCTGTGTGTTGCAGTCTGTGGTACTTTTGTAGATATTTTACTCAGATCACATTGTCCGTGCATTTTCTTTAAGTCTTACTGCTCTTTTGCCCATACACCATGGTTTCACAGCTGTGTGTTTTTATCAGTTTTCGGGGCATGTGTTTCTTTTTTTTTCTTCTTTTTTAATGTCTTTTATTTTAAGCTTCCTTGTTTGCCTAGTTGTTTGATTTCTACAGAGAAAGAAACAGTGTGGTGTTGGGTGGATAGGGAGGTAGGAAGGATCTAGAAGGAGTTGGAGAAAGGCAATCCATGATCAGAATACATTGTGTGAATTTTCTTTAAAAGAATCACAAAAAGTAAATTAAAAAAAGTATTAAAATAAACAAGAATATGCAAACCTGTGAAGAGTTTAACATAAAAAAAAAGCCTGTACTGTGTCTGAACATGGAAATATCATACTTCAATCACAACAGGTGCAGGTCAGCTAATAGACTTTAAGAAAGGAAATCAGACAGGATACAAAGTCCCCTCCACACCCTGCCTCTTCTCTCCTCTGGGGATTCTTGGCTCCATTGTGCCCCCTGCTGGTCATGAGCTCCCCTGCAGGTTGGTTTGTCATGGCTTACCTGAAGCTGCACTGTCTGTCTTGAGTAGTAGCACATCCCTGCAACTTCAGTGCTCACAAAGCTCAGCTGCAGGGATAAATGGCTTTGTTTACTGGGACATGCTGACTGCATGTTTCAGAGACTGTTTTTATGTTGTGCT